ATATATATATATATATACATATATATATATATATATATATATATATATATATATATATATATATATACAGTAGTACTCCGCTTAACGCGGTCAATTGAACCCACAGGGTACCGTGTTAAGTGAAATCCGGGTTAAGTGAACAACAGAACATATGGGATTAATTCCAATAGAGACTGGCCGGACCCACAAACTCTACTTTTTCCGACACAATACGGTCGGCCCTTCACATACGCGGGTTTAGCATTCACGGATTCGCAAATACGCGGATTGCCCCGCCAGAGGAATATTCTGTACATTGAAGTAATTGAAGTACATTCAAATCGCGCGCCATTCAACTCGCGCGCAGCACCGAACACAGGACACCGCGCGCTCCCGCAACCTCACACACACACGCATAGCTCTCCCTCACTCAGTCAGTCTCGCTGTAGCCACACTTGTGTTGACATCAGCATTGTAGTTGCAAAAATATTACATTTCCGTGAATGTATTATATCAAGCACAGTATGAATAGAATATCACTAATATAAGAGTATTTTAACCGAAAACTACTAAAAAAACGAGTAACATCTCTTGAACATCGGAAGGTTAGGTAAAGTCTCTTGTTTTCGTCATGTATTTTATCCTAATTTACATTGAAATAAATCACGTTTCAGCAAAAGTACTATTCATTTCTGAGAATATGGAAATGTAATATTTTGCTGAAATGACGTACGTATTACAGTGGAAAGTGACGAAAGCAATGACTTGCTTTCTTTCGCTCAAAAAATGTTACCGTAATCGCTTTTTGAATGGTTTTCAGATAAAAAACTGTTGTATTACAATAATATTCTATCCTAATTCACTTGTGATGCAACAGTTTTTTAACTGAAAACCATTCGAAAAGCGATTACGGTAACATCTTTTGAACGAAAGAAAGCGAAAGTCATTGTTTTCGTCACGATTTTGTCCCACATTCCACTGTAATACTTACGTCATTTCAGCAAAAATATTTCATTTCTGTGAATGGAGTATATCAAGCACAGTATGAATATAATATCATTGTAATATAACAGTATTTTAACAGAAAACTATTAAAAAAACGAGTAACATCTCTTGAACATTGGAAGGTTAGGTGAACTCTTTTGTTTTCGTCATGTATTTTATCCTATTTTACATTGAAATACATCACGTTTCAGCAAAATTACTATTTATTTCCGAGAATATATTCATTCAGGTGCAGTTTAGGTAAAATATACGTGTGATGTAACATTTTTTTAATTGAAAACGATTCGAAAAACACGTACCCTCTAGCCCTGTTCAAGGAGAGGACTGGGAGAAACTGTTTGGTGCTGCAGACGATGGCAAGGAAAATAATTTGGATGGATTTTAATGAAAATATTCAGAAATATGGTATCGTAGTATTTATTCAAGTCAATTAGGATAGAATATAATTGTAATACAACAGTAGTGACGATGTGGAGGAGGCGGAGGGATAGAGCGGGGAGGAGGCGGAGGGATAGAGCGGGGAGGAGGTGACTGGCGGGAACAGGGACGAGTGGAGATGCCAGCCAGTATATTACGGGTGTATTAATTGTTTTTATAGCTATTTTTGCATTTTAATGTTAAATACTGTACATTACGTTTCAACAAAACTACCATTTATTTCTGAGAACATGGATATGTAATATTTTTGCTGAAATGATGTACGTATTACAGTGGAAAGTGACGAAAGCAATGACTTTCGCTTTCTTTCGTTCAAAAGATGTTACCGTAATCGCTTTTCGAATGATTTTTAGTTGTGGGATTATATGGCTAATGATAGGATAGAATATTATTGTAATACAGTACGAGTACAACAGTTTTTTAACTGAAAACCATTCGAAAAGCGATTACGGTAAAATATTTTGAACAATGAAAGAAAGCGAAAGTCTTTCGTCATGATTTTATCCCACTTCCCACTATAATATGTACGTCATTCCAGCAAAAATATTACATTTCCATATTTATTTCCAAGAATATATTCATTCAGTCACAGTTAAGGTAAAATATACTTGTGATGTAATATTTTAATGAAAATCCAGTATCGAAGTTTTCTCTTGTTTCAAATTTAATTAACAAAGAATGATGTTTCAAATGTAATGAAAAAAAATTTATGTCCAGTATCTATAAATTAACTTTAATAAATGAATACTTTGTTTTACATCGTCCTGTGCTACCATACCATGGATTTGGCTACTTTGGGCTCGCAAGAGATCTGCCCTGGCAACTGTACCGACACTCACAGCTGGTGGTGTGTTGGTGCATCGTTTCCATTGTTTACTGGTAGTTACTGGTAAATATTTTTCAACCTAACGAAACTATTACCCGTTTAGAGGTTGACCCCCAATTTTTGCCAAATAATTTGGTCTTAAAAACTCGTACTGCACACAGGTATATACGGTAAATAAGGACATGGGGGGCCAGGGATTTTTTAAGGGGGGGGCAGCAATAGTACACGGATTTTTAACATTCACGGGTATCTCTGTTACCTAACCCCCGCGAATGTTAAGGGCCGACTGTACCTATGTTCTAGTAAAAATAACATCTTAATTTTATGATGGTACATGCACACAATTAATACTTAAGAGAAATAGAGAAATACAGTCGCCAAGTTAATGTCCATTCAAATAATGGACTCAACTCCCTCCCCCTCTTCTCACACAACACTGCTGGCTCTTCCCTCTCTGAGAAATTTTTGGGGGAAAACCACTAAATTTTAATAAATAATACCTCAAACAAAAGTTAGGATAATATAATTGACATTGCTGGATTCCTTGTAAGACCAGGAATATTTTGAATATAAATGTCATATATTTTGCACAAAAGACAACATATTTACTCAGAGTAAACATTATATCTAAAATTTGTATGTCTAATGCAAAATCTATGATGTTTATACAGTATTCAAAATGATCATCAAATTGTAAGAATTCCAGCAATGTAAATTATATTCTGGCCGGGTAATTTGTATGAATTTTATGAGCTAAAACAAATATCTTCAGTTAATAAAACAAAAAATATTTTTCATGACACTATCTGTCAATCAAAGTACCCCACCTTGCCTCCCCCCTCTTCCAACCGCGCCAGGTGGTCAGTCCGTCCCAACCCTCCCCCCCACCCCCCACCAATCCTCCCTTCAAGAGATGTTGGGTGAAAAAACAAAATTTTAACATTAAGTATTAAATAATACCTCAGATTAAAGTTAGGATAAAATAATTGACATTGCTGGATTCCTTGTAAGACCAGGAATATTTTGAATATAAATGTCATATATTTTGCACAAAAGATAACATATTTACTCAGAGTAAACATTATATCTACAACTTGTATGTCTAATGCAAAATCTATGATGTTTATTTTCAAAATGATCATCAAATTATAAGACTTCCAGCAATGTAAATTATATTCTGACCGGGTAATTTGTATGAATTTTATGAGCTAAAACAAATATCTTGTTAATAAAAAAAAAAATATTCTTCACACCGTAACAGATGGTCGGTCGGTCCCTCCCTACCAGATGTGTGGGAAAACCAGAATATTTACCTTTTTAGTAATAAATAATACCTCAAACTAAAGTTAGGATAATATAATTGACATTGCTGGATTCCTTGTAAGACCAGGAATATTTTGAAAATAAATGTCATATATTTTGCACAAAAAATAACATATTTACTCAGAGTAACCATTATATCTAAAATTTGTATGTCTAATGCAAAATCTATGATGTTTATATTCAAAATGATCATCATATTGTAAGAATTCCAGCAATGTAAATTATTTTCTGGCCTGGTAATTTGTATGAATTTTATGAGCTAAAACAGGCAGGCAGGGAGGCAGGCGGTGGCGGGTGGGGCGAATCTAAAAATAGCATCTCGAGCCAGACACTCTGCGCGTATACGTGGAAAAAACGCGTGTTAAGTGAAAGTTCGGCTCTGGCGAGGCACCGCGTATACGTGAAATCGCGCTAAGCGAAACTGCTTTGAGCAGGGTATTACTGTATATATAACTTGTTCTGAACTTCTACTTAGTTTGTACTCACCCCTGAAGATGTGAATTACACGAAAGCGCTTGGGAAGCTCATGTTTTCTTTTTCCTTGTGGTTATCAGCATATACCTGGATCACGCGCACCTACAGTGATTTATTTGCATATATATATATATATATATATATATATATATATATATATATATATATATATATATATATATATATATATATATATATATATATATATATATATATATATTTCATTAGCCCAATAAAGCAAACGGACTTCTACATACAATCAACACCTCAACCCGCCAGGATTCGAACCCACGGCCCACGAGCCCACGACTGTGACCGGGAAATGCTACCTCTGGACCACCAGGATACGAAAAGCAGTCCTAGACTCTGGTATATTTCACACAAAGCCTGTTCATCGAGCTTCAGGCGCCGTGAACCTCTAATGGGGACTACCCGTATCACGTAGGTGGTCAGAGTAACGTTTTACCAAATCCGGCTTCGAAACACGAGGATCCATATATATTTCATTAGCCGGATTTGGTAAAACGTTACTCTGACCACCTATGTGATACGGGTAGTCCCCATTAGAGGTTCACGGCGCCTTAAGCTCGTTGAACAGGCTTTGTGTGAAATATGTATATATATATATATATATATATATATATATATATATATATATATATATATATATATATATATATATATATATATATATATACAGGGTGTCCCATAAATTTCCTAACATAGGAAAAATAAATTTTATATGAAAATCCATTTTTATTTATATAATATGCTCTACACGACTACCATTCTGTTGAAAACACTCTTCAATGCGTGTCCTCCACTGCTGAAGAACACGTTCAAGCACAGCTGGAGTTATGCTTGTAATGGTGTTGGTGATACGTTGTATGGAAACTTTTGGGACACCCTGTATATATATACACACATACACACACACACACAACATAACACTCACAGAGGGAGGACAGTCGTACACGTGAGCACAGAGAGGTCAACGCCGGGGCCAGGTCAGGGTCTGTGTCAGTTATCACCAGGTAGAGGATCTCCACAGTGTGTGGCAGTGACCTCACAGCAGCACCACTCAGCTGACCCTCGAACCACCACACCCGATGCCTGTAGTATAGATCAACAGTTGTGTATAATAATGATAAGTATTGCTGGATCACCTCAAGATTCTCCCACCAGATTATATAACATTAACCTTCCTGTCGTTAACCTAATTATCGTTACCATGTTTATGTGAAATAACCTGGGACAAAAATTAAGATGATTCTAATATTAAATTTATCTAGTAGTAGTAGTAGTAATAATAGTAGCAGTAGTAGTAGTATTAGTATGACCATTATCGTTAAAGAGAACTACAGTATGGTGGTAACTGAGGGAAGAACTGAACGTCTTTGTCATCATTATTTTGTTTGGCTTCCCTGGCCTGGTTAACCTTCTCCTGGGCCTCTGTTCCCTCTTATAGACTACTGCTGTTTATCTAACATTAATAAATATTGATAAAAAGGTAAATACATATAAGAGGAGACCAGTGAGACAGAGCAGCTACACTACCCATCACTCATCAAGGGTAACTGACCAAAGTTAAAGATGGCGGTGAGGGTAAAGACTCTAGATACTTCCAGGTAAATAATTATTTCATAAAACTTACATGAAACAAAATATATTATTGTTTTTTGATAACATACAAGTGGTGACTATAAATAACGGTTACAAGGGGTCACAATATATTTTAACAATTTATTAGTAAAAAGATAATTATATATTAAGTAGATATTTGGTGAGAGTGTTGCCATAATGGTCATGTTTTTAAATAATTTAAATTTGAGTAAAAATAAAAAATATATAATACGTACAGTACTCTTATAACCTCGTTAATCTGTCTTAACCTATTATTGTTATTATTATTGCTATTATTATTGCTATTATTATTATTATTATTATTATTATTATTATTATTATTATTATTGCTATTATTATTGTTATTATTATTATTATTATTATTATTATTATTATTATTATTATTATTGTTATTATTATTATTATTATTATTATTATTATTATTATTATTGTTATTATTATTATTATTATTATTGTTATTGTTATAATTATTATTATTATTATTATTATTGCTATTATTATTATTATTATTGTTATTATTATTGTTACTATTATTATTATTATTGTTGTTTTATTATTGTTATTATTATTATTATTATTATTATTATTATTATTGTTATTATTAATATTATTATTATTATCATTATTATTATTACTGTTATTATTATTGTTATTATTATTATTATTATTATTATTATTATTATTATTATTATTATTATTGTTATAATTATTGTTATTATTATTGTTATTGTTATTATTATTATTAGTTATTATTATTGTTATTATTATTGTTATTATTATTATTATTATTATTATTATTATTATTATTATTATTGTTATTATTATTATTATTATTTTTATTATTATTATTATTATTATTATTATTATTATTATTATTATTGTTATTGTTATTATTATTGTTATAATTATTGTTATTATTATTGTTGTTATTGTTATTATTATAATTATTATTGTTATCATTATTGTTATTGTTATTATTATTGTTATTTTTATTGTTATTAATATTGTTGTTATTATTATAATTATTATTGTTATTATTATTGTTATTGTTATTATTTTTATTTTTATTGTTATTAATATTGTTATTATTATTATTATTAATGTTATTATTATTATTATTATTATTATTGTTATTATTATTGTTATTGTTATTATTATTGTTGTTATTATTGTTATTATTATTATTGTTATTATTATTGTTATTGTATAGATATGTAAATACCAAGATATGTGAACACGCCTGACGGCAAGACTCTGTTACCATTCATTGTACCATTTATTCACATGTCTGTATTACTATATATCATCATAGCATGTCTGATATCTATGCTTATGTCTAATGCCTATGTCTACTCACTATGTCCCGATGTACTATGTCTGTACCGCGCTAGTCAAGTAACTAGAGGATCTCATTTATTGTCCTAGTAATGTCTAGCAACTCTCCCTGCCTAACTAGCTAACTTCTCTCAGATCGGCCCCGGCCTGGTTACGACGAGGAGTTCCTTGTGCTGGCTCCTGTTTTGTATCGGTTGGTTATCCTGCCAAGTCTTGTACTACTTATGGAATATATCTACTGCTCGTGCTCTGGAGTTTGAAGAACCTTGTCTAGGATTACATCCCACCACAGTTTTTATTGTTATTGTTATTATTAATGTTAATATTATTATTATTATTATTATTATTATTATTATTGTTATTACCGTATTATTGTTATTATTATTATTATTATATTATTATTATTATTCTATTGTTATTATTATTCTGTTGCTGTTGTTGTTGTTATTATTCTGTTGTTGTTATTATTATTATTATTATTATTATTATTATTATTATTATTATTATTATTATTATTATTGTTGGTGTTGTTGTTATTTATCATTATTATTATTATCATTATTATTGTTATTATTTTTATTATTATTATTATTATTATTATTATTATTATTATTATTATTATGATTATGATTATTCAAGTGTTAGAACTAACATGTCAAAGGTTAACTAAGTCAACATATCTAACTACCTCAGCAGCGTATTGTCAAACAGCTTTATGATTAATACTGAAATAATGAACTGAATAATATATGCAGATAATTGTTTCATGTTATTATTTAGGTAATACTTTTAATTTATGGAATAATATCTACTGTAGGTGGGACTCTTTAGTATACTATTGTAAGAATAATGAAGTCAAGTTTACCTTTTAAAGACGTCTTGGAGAGCTGCGTCAAGAGAGGGGCTGCAGGTGTCTGGGTGCTTCCAGTGATGGTTCATATAAATGCCTACTACACAGTTGTTCCACGCAGCCACCACCTTCATCAGGTCGACCATGTGGGGAATGTTGTCTGGGTCTCCATCAATATTTACGGTTATATAGACTGGTCGACCAAGAGGGAGTAGAGTGGTGTAGACTGACACACTGCTATCTGTGACCACTATGCTACCTGTCACCAATTGTGGAATATGTTTAGCGACGTATTTACAAAAGGTAGTGTCACACTTCACGCCATTTATCAGGTCCACCCACTGACTCCTGTCTGTCATATTGCCTGTCATACCAGAAGAGTGGAGAAGGAGGACCAGTTCTTCTGCCTTGTCTTCCTTTACCTCTCCTCCGCCGTCAACATATAAAATGCCAGTTAGATGAACCAGAACGTTCTGGTATTTGGTCAGAGTCAGAGACGACAGGTCATCCTTGTGTAGCTCCTCCAGGACCTCCCTGATGGTGCGGGGACCTTGAGACATATTTGGCCTTTCTCCCTGAAGCGAGTCCCTTATATGCAAGGCACCGTAGAAATCCTGAACTCCCTTGTGGGAGAAACTAAGGCATGATTTAACTTTTGCACAGAGAGCGTAAGTGTTGTTGGTGATGAAGAAGGCGCCGGTAACTTCCTCGAGCAGAATGTTAACGCGTTGACATGTTTGTTCAAGGTTGTCTGTCATCTCTTCTGACACATATAATGAGTCAACTTTTAGGCTTACAAAGGATTCTTGACACATCACTTTAAAGATCTTTTCAATGTTTCTCTTCACACTCCTGGCAGATATAACTGTGTCCGGTTTATCTATCAGTCGTTTCACTAATTTTTCTGTCGTCATATCCTTCACTTTACTGTACAGTTGTGTGGCCGTTGTCATATTCTTTACTGTACTTGGATCTTCGGCCCATATGAGACTTAAGAATACCAGGTTCATGGGCAATCTTAGGTACTCTTTGAGACGACGTGGCATACTCTCCAGGTACTCTACCAGTTCTTGTGTACTCTGTGTACTCTTGCCAGCTTGTATTAGTTGATTGTGGTATTTCTCCGCAAAAGTTACACGACTTTTAGCAGGAATACCAACAAGCTGTAAATGGACAGCTCCCAGGTGAGGTGGAAGAGTTTTGTAGAAGTCGTCCACCCTCTCTGGCCTTGTAGTACAGACTACAGTAAAGTTACAATTACATAAGACATCTTGGATCAGTGCTTTTGATGCTTTATTCAACTCGTCGAGGCCATCCACCAGCATGAGGACCTTAAACTGCTGGACACATTTGATCATGTCATTTCCTCGATACTTCTTAGCGGTGTCTGGCATTTGTGACTGGACGAGCTGTGCAAGAGACCAGATGTGTTGATTTCTCCCTTCAATATGAAAGAGCAGCAGGAAGTTAGTAAGACCTTGTATGGTGTCCTTGTCGGCCTTCCAATCACTTAGTAATTTTATCAAGAAGGTCGTCTTACCAGCACCGGCGACACCGTCAATAAGTATGATTCTTTTGTGTTTGTCAATGGCAAGTTTTAGAATGTCTTCATCTGGTATATCTTGGTCAGCTGTACCTCGCTCCTCCTTACCTTGTATGCGTGTGAACACAGTGTCAATATCAAGGAGAAAGTCTGTACCGGCAATAAACGACACAGGATTAACATTTGTCCGTTTACCAAACAGCTCCACCAACTCTTGTTTACCAGACTGCTCTATGAGGTCAATATTGTAGCTGGTTATATCCTCGGGGTCCAGGAGGTTGTCGCTGATGTAGTTGATGCGTTCATCTATGGTTTTAACCCGGTTATCTACTTCATCTTCATCAATGTTAAACACATCTTTTCCTTCACTATATACGTCTTTCAACAGTTTTCTCAGCTCCTCCGTCTTGTTCTTATAATCCTCAGGACTGACGGCTAACTCCCCGTGCAGCAATTCGTTGCGAAAATCTTTTACAGCTTTGAGTTTTTCCAGAAGGGCGTCCAGCTGGCCACCAGGAGCAGGGCCAGGCAACAAGGTGATGCACAGGTAAAGTAGCGAGAAGTCATATTTCTTGCCAGAAGGGTCGACGTCAAGTATCTTACGCTGGTCCTTATTAAATTTTTCCTTTAACTTTTTCTTGGTGAAGCCTTTACTCTCCAGGAACTCGAGAAGCTTCTTGTCTTTGACCTTCCCCTCATGACAGGCTGCTCGGGTGTACATATCCAGCAAGACTGGGCGTTCCAGTTTGTTTAGTGTAGTGATGAGTTTTAACCAGTCTCTCTCCTCCCCGGTAATGGGTGGTGGTGGTGGTGGTGGTGAGGTGTGAGGCGTCGCCATGGTTGGTCAGGTTGGTCATTACTAAGGAACAAAGGTCAACAGTTACTTGAGAGTGCAGCCTAACATTTATAAAGTGTTCATTAAGGTTAAAATACATTTATGAGTAACATTTATTAGAGTGAACGGCGATAATAACACAAGGATAGATCAACTCAGTTTGCCAGTATTTGTTGCCAGAAAAAATAAACATTTATATAAAACCTTTTTTGATGTACAAATAATGTATATAAGAGTTGTTACATTCTCTTTAATAATCTCTAATATAAGTTGTGGCAACAGTCTCTCTCCTCTTAACTTAATATAAAAACTCGCCCACTGACGCATCACAAATACCAAGAACTTTACAACAAAAACATTGTTACCATGACAACCAAACTCTTAACAAAGACGAAAATCTTCCCCAGTAAACCAAGGGAACTTAGGAGCCTTAATTGACGGCGCTCAACACTGGCCGTCATGGGAGACTCTAACTATATGGCCACATGGACTGTAAAAATTAAACCGCGCCAAATGACCTTAGTAATCCAGCTACTCTTTTGTAGAAACTCTGGCAGACAATTTTCTGGACCTCATCATAACTAATGAGGAAGGTATAGAGGCCACACCTGGCCCCCTTTTGGCCAAGGTTGAAGTATTACAGTGGTGATTACAACAGGTTGAGGGAGGGTTATTCACTGGCCTGACTCACTGGTAAACAAGAACGCAGATACTACCATCAACATTATAGTAAATAACGTGATCTATTTGATTGATAAATATACAGTTATATACCCAAGACCAAATCCACTGGCTCCAGGGATACAAGGAGGCAGCTACAAGTGAACCATGCGGCGGTTGACAAAGTTAACAAGAAAACTAAGAAATTCGAGACGTGGGTTAGGACAAACAATGAGCAGGACAGGAGGATGTATGCAAGAGCCAGGAACCAAGCAAAAGCAGAGTGTAGAAGGGCTGAAAAAGACTTCCAGAGGCGGAGTGCGAGTGAGGTCAAGTCAAACCCAAAAGCTTTTTACCATTATGCAAAGTCAAAATAAAAAAAATACGTGTAAGCGCAGCATATCTGAGGCTTGAAGATGGTAGTTACGCAGATTCTGACCAGGATAAAGCTGAGGCATTGAACAGCTTCTTTTCCTCGGTGTTTACAAGAGAGGATGCGATTAACCTTCCTGCGTTTGAGGACAGACGGTTCGAAACAGCACTGACCCACATTGTGTTCACAGAAGAGGTTATAAGAAATAAACTGTCAAAGGTAAAGGTCCATAAGAGTCCCGGCCCTGACATGGTGCATCCCAGAGTGTTAAGAGAGTTGTGCAACGAGCTTGCCGAGCTCCTGAAGATCCTGTTTTGTAAATGCCTGGATGAACAAAAGGTCCCCAATGATTGGAAAGTGGCTTATGTGAGTCCTATCTTCAAGAAGGGCAATCGTCATTCCACGGACAACTATAGACCGGTGAGCCTGACTAGCATAATATGTAAAGTACAGTACTTGAGAATATGATCAGAGATGCCGAGTTGGAACATCTACCACGAAACAACCTTGTAAAGGATTGCCAACACGGTTTTATGCCGGGGATCTCCTGCTTAACACAAATACTCAAGGTACTAGACGTTTTGATCCATATTCTGGAACGGGGTGGTAATATCGACAATATATACCTAAATTTTGCCAAGGCTTTTGACAGTGTACCCCACGAAAGGCTGAAAATCAAATTGGAAGGGTACGGGATCCGGGGAATTGTCCTAGCGTGGATAGAAGACTTTCTCCATGACCGCAAGCAGTGTGTGGTGATTAATGGCACGAAATCATCAAGTGTGCCCGTCACAGGGCAGTGTATTGGGCCCGTTGTTGATTGTTTGTTTCATTAATGACAAGCCAGAAGCTATACACTCTTCCTTACTAATGATGCGGACGATGCCAAGTTATTCAGGCAAATTAAGAACCAAACAGACTGTGAAGAGCTATAGAAAGATCTCTGTCGGCTTCAGGAGTAGTCAAAGGAATGGATTTAATGTTAGGAAGGGCAAGAGGACGTTGGTGGTACAGCGTAACTTTCACCTGTTTGTCAAGGGTTCGAGCCTCGGCCCAGGCACAGGGAAGAAGGGTGTTATCCAGTGTGACTCTCACTACAGGTTTCTCGGTCTCGGGTTTCCTCCTGTACTAGATAGACCGACCACCCGAACGGCTAGTAAAGTGATAACTGGTGAAAATGTTGAAGAGGATGCACCTATAAAATGTATTAACAGTATGGAGGGCGTATTACAGGATTTCCTTCGCTTTATATCTCTCTGTATTTTGTATATTTTCTTTAAAATTCTTTGCATGACTCGTCATCATGTCTGTCTCTTTTAAACTTACGAGAGAGTTGATGTCTGTGTCTAGTTGATTCTAATATGGACTTATATACTTTGGACTTTGGGGCCTCAACTGACGCCACCTCGGTTGCTAAAGGATCGGCTTTTTTCACACTTCATTTTTCCAACATTCGCGGCCTGAGATCCAATTTTCCTTCTGTGGAGCACTATCTATTAACCTCTTCCCCTGACCTCTTACCACTATCTGAACTTCAACTGACCAAAGCAGCTTCACCCAAACCTTTTCAAGTCCTCAACTACAACCTTTATACCTACTTCCGTTCTAAGGGAGGTGTATGCGCCTACTGCAACACACGTACACCTATAGCTCGACTCACGGATCTTGAATCTTCCCTTTATGATGTCATCTGGCTCAAAATATCTCTACCAACTATGACTATTTTTCTTTGTTTCCTATACTGTTCTCCCAACTCTACCAACTATTTCGAACTCTTTGACTATCTCACTTCTTGCCATGAGTCGTTGCTATCCACACACCCCAACACCCAGATCCTCTACCTAGAGGATTTCAATGTACATCACAAAGAGTGGCTTGGCTCTGCAAGGGATGACCCAGGTGGAGCTGAGGCACTCTCTTTTTCCCTACTTAATCATTTGGAACAAATAATTAAACGCGATCAACTTGCTAACATTCTTGATCGTTGTTTTACCTCTAACCCCTCACACTATTCATACTCAATTACTGCCCCCTTAGGGTCTTCTGATCACAATCTTATTTCTATTAGATCAAACTAGGCACGACCACCTCCCCCACCCACCTCTAAACATCAACTATGGCACTATCGGAGGGCAAGCTGGCAAAACTTGCGAGAATTCTTCTCCGACTTTCCTTGGGATGAATGTTGTTTCTCCACTCGTAGGGACGCCTCGGTATGTGCTGACAGCATTGCTGGGGTTATACAGTGTGGTATGAGTGCATTTATCCCATCTTCTACCAAAACTTTCTCTTTACAATCATGGTTTGATCGCTCCTGGTCTCTTGCCTGCAGGGTGAGAGATAGGGCATATCGAGCTATGAAACTATCTCCTTCTCCTATTACCCACACCTCTTTTATTACTTCTAGGAATAGTTGTAAGGCTATTCTTCGTAGGGCCAAGCGGAATTTTATAAAAATAAAGACCCTGTCCTGACTAATTCTTCCTCTAGTAAATCCTTCTAGTCCTTAACCAAAAACATCTGTAATAACTTCTTTTCCTCCTTTCTTCCGACCTGATAACTCTATAGCAAACTCTCCCCCTGACAAAGCCAATCTCTTTGGCACCTTATTCTCCTCTAATTCCACCTTAGACAATTCCCACTCTATCCCTCCTACCCCTGCTCCTCCTACTGAACCTATGCACTTTCTTATAATCTTCACTCGCAGGGTTGCCGGTGTGTTATCCAGGTTGGAGGTGAGTAAGGCACATGGACCGGACGGAATACCCCCTCGTGTTCTGAGGGAGTGTGCTGAAGCTCTAGCCCCTGTGCTATATAATGTGTATCTATCAGACCAAAGCATCCAGGCCAGTAGTATAACATAGACTTAGCAGTAACCAGGGGAGCACGTGTTCACCCACGGAAGTTGACACACCCTACAGTGACTAAGGTGAGACAAGGACCTGATCCAAAGGAGGTCAAGGTCACAAAGGGAACAATAATTCTCACCGCCACGCGATTAGCTTAACCCGGTGTCATGACCTTGTTAATTCAAGGAACTGCTACCCAGCCAGCACTTGTGTTACCTGACCTAACAGCCGGTCTAGACACACCCAGATGCCGGCTGGAGATCTCCAATATAAAGGCCAGCCAGCCTTCGCCCCGTGATTGGACCTCTCTCAAGACCCTTCACCGCCAAAGCCAGCCAGCCAGCCTTTGTCCTAAACTGTTGACGACCGTTGGAGCGCAAACGACCATTACTTGACGCCACTAACCACCACCCAAACATTAGGGAAGCTCGCTCCAGACAACGTCCTCTGTGTGTCCCCCCATTGATCAGGGGTGTCTCCTGATCAGAGGCGGCCCAGATTGGGTGCTCTGTAACGGCTGCCTGCAGCGGACTTGGGCCGCGATCCCACTGGTGTTACTTGCACCAGTGGCTGTCCTTCCTTCTTTCTCGCCCTGGCCTGGGAAACTGCATCCTAGAAAGGTATTCGTCCTTTTTTTTTTAGGTTAAGGTGGAGCACGGATGGCTCAAGGCACAGCCAGACATGAGGGGTAGAGAAGTCACAACATATAGTCGTGGGGGGGAAGATTGGAAAAGACGAATTAATGAGTTAAACAAAGGAGGACGACACCCCTTGTTTTACATATTAGAGTTTGTTGGCTAACTAAGCTAACCTAGGATTTAGGATGAGGTTGCACAATGGTTACTTTAGTAGACAATGACTAGTTTGATTTTACAATTACATGTTTATTAAAATAATTATTACGTCATGGACTCACTAGATTGTGACTTGTTAAATGTGAACTTACATCATCTAAGTTTTAATCTAAGGTGGATCACTGTGGCGGACATAGATGGGTCGCGGGTTGGGTTGTTGTAGTGCGGGCAGACTCACCAGGCGTGGGGTAGCCTTCCGTTGATGTCTTCCCCGCATAGGTGGTCCAGGAGCTTGTCTCAAACCTTCTTCCCTAGGCGATGGAACCTGACGTTGAGGGCCTCTGTTTTATTTCTCAGGTGGATGGTTTCCACTGTCTCCAGGTAGGGTGGCACTTGGCTACTGGCTGA